GCCTTCCAGTTCAGACTATTAAGAGGACGTTGAGATTTTCACACTAAAAGGTCAATTTCAGGAACGTGTGGTTTGTGTATTCACGCTTATGACCTCTACTCTTTGACCCTGGGATCCTGCCAATCATGGGGGAAGAAGCCAGGGCAAAGAGCAGAGGTTAGTGTCCAACCAGACCAACAATGCATATTGAAATTGACCTCCATTACAAAATGGGAATATTTTTATAACGGAAATTCTTCTGTAGTAAGTAGCCTAGTTTTAATCAACCCTCAGAGAATGAGAACTCTTCTTGAAGTGAAACTATGAAGCTCTTCTCGACTGTCAGTATGAATGGGTTCCAGAAGGTCCAGCGACATTCCCTAATCACAATATCATTGGAACAGAATTTCGTGAAGATCAATTTGTTACCAAACGGAGGGGATTCCAAAAAGGGTATCTGTTCCCAGCTTGCCTCTAATCAGCCATTTTACAGATTAAAACACCGGATGAACAATACAATGTGCGCGCTTGCTTAATGATTTCTCACGATTTCTGGAGTTCACATCAATTGATTAACATTTGTTGTCGTTCCCATTTACATTGGCATTCACATCACAATCTCACTAGATTACTGTTCCCTTATAGATTATTTCTGCGATATGCACTACCTCAGTAAAATTGTGTTGTCATGTATTTATGTGTCATGGCAACTGCAATTCTTCGCCCAAATTGCTCCACAAGTAATTTTGCTCCTGTGCCAGTAGACACGAGACAACAATGCCATAGGTTTGCTCACAAACATATCAGTTTAAATACTCAGTCCTGAAGGAATTCAGAAAAGTCTGTCAGCAGTTTAAAAGCAGGGCAAATCAGCATTACTTCAGGAAAGCCGGTTTATAATGTGAATTTGTTTTTCACTGGTTCGTTCATGAACATTCTTTGAAATTAAAATGAGATGGTATGGGATTAGGATTCAGGTTCCCAAGTGAGTGAGATTTTAATCTGGCGCTACAATAATCACCCAGTTTATCTAAATCCTTATATTCTACAACAATGAAAATGTAATGGCAATGAAAAAAATTAAGATTAAAACCCCATAATACATTAACAATAAAAAATTCAAAATGCAGGTTTATTGTGGGGCTTGAGCCACAGGAAATGATTAGGCTGTTAGCTTCACTTCATTAAATACCCACCTTCTCTTTCATTACTATCTCATTAGAGACCACTTGGAAAGTTTGCTAACGATTATAGACTCAATATCAAATTTTCTTTCTAATTATCCAAAGATACTTGGTACCAAATTTTCTTTGAAACTTATTTTGCTTAATCTTAATTTTATGTTAAATATCTTTATAATACGTTTCTCACTTCATGTCTTTTTTCCCCCCATTCACCATGCTATTTTATTTCTTCTCCACTGGGTATCCACTGAGCCTAGGAAATTTACTAACGTTCTGAGAATGTGGTGGTAATAATTTTCAATTTAACACTTCTGGTTTTGGTTAAATGCTGGTCTGACTGTTGCTAACTGACTGCAGAGCACATTGAAAATTACTTCAAAAAGAATAAGTGTAAAGCAATTATTATATAAGATTGCAAAACAACAATCTCATTAATTTGGTTGTCATAAAGATATTTGTGTGTAATATATATATATATGTATGATATACTTAGCATTGTTCAATGTAGTTTTCAGTTCCACTAAAACAAATGCTCAAGTGACATCAATTAACCTGCAACTCAAGAACCAATAGACAACGACTTCAAATGTGATATTTTGCTGAACAGTAGAAACGCTTTGAGTCTGTATAGTAACAAATTATTTTATTTGACCACATGAACATTTTAACCAGCCCCGATTTTTTTTAAAAACCCAAATGGCCTTTAGACTATCTATTTGAGCATTCAGGAACAATATTGTATAATTGTCTTGGGAAAATGCTTAAAAGCTTTGTGTCGTTTTCCTTGATTTAACTTGTGTATTATCTATGCCTTTTAACATTAAATGACCATGCTTTCAAGTGTATCCAGCTCTAACCCACTGTACATCACCAAATTTCAAGGGAGGACACTGATACAGTACTTATCCAACTCTAAAATCTGTACAAACCCAATTAAACTCACCAGTTTCAGTCGTGCTCAGTTAGTTTTATGCATCATCATTTAATCTGGAGAAGGAATTTATAAGAGGCAGCAAAAACAATTTAGACTCCGAGTGGCACAATGCAGAGTTGATTGATGTGAATATTTATTGTCTGGAAGGGCATTAGCTGACCAGGGTGCAAATATTGAAACCTACTGGGTGGTTGATTATCAAAGGTATTCTTTCTTAGTTGTAGGGCATTTTTGGACAGTTGTAGTACCTTCAAAATGAACTTTTTTTTGTACTCAAGTTTTCTCTAATTCCCTAGAAAGCTAGACATCCCAAATTAACTTTATATACTTACTTCTCTTTAAAATGAGTGTGAAAATGAGTGTCTTACTTATAATTTGCTATTTTTAAAAAAAATAATGTGAAGATCTAAAATGTCTGTTGCTGGGTGCAAAATTACTGAGATCAGCCAAACATTGGAAAATTAGAAGATCAGATGGTTTTCTATAGTTGCATGTTCCTAACAAAGAAGAGACTTTCTCCTTTAGAAATATTTTACGTGGGTCCAGTTTTGTTTTTATTGTCCAATATTGTCTTATTAACGGATTATTTGTGCGCACTTAGTGGAGGAAATGTTGAACAGGGTTTGTTCTGCATTAACAGAATGTTATCTGTTGTGAAGTGGATTTGAACAATGTTTGAGTGAAGTGATAAGATTTGCAAAACAGTTTTACACAAGTGACAAATTCTTCTCATCATGAAAATTGCCCCTAAGTATTTTGTTCTTTTTAGCCAGGCCTGTGGGTTTTTCCCAGGAAAAAAAAGGAATGTTCTCGTCACCTGCCATTTTCACTGCCTACTTGACACCCCAGGGCTTCCCAGCAGCTCTTTCCAGCAGGAGCTGTCTTCCAGCTTTTAGCACCACCAAATAATTGAGGTTGTCACATCTCTTGTTCATTGTTTTCCGTGCCTGGCAAAAAAATGCAAATATTTCATTGTAGTCATTAATTTTCCCATCCTTTTCTTAAAGCATCTCGTTGGTTTGATCAGATGAAAAGGGCTGAAGGCATTATTGCAAACATGCTGGCATCCAGGTCTGCCTGTAGTGGAGAGAATCTCATCAGATAAAGTCTCAGGGAGGTCATCAATCATTGGCGCTGACAACCATTTTGCCTTCGTTTGTTACAGATGTGAACATGCTTAATTATTTGTAGTGTAATTAGTTCATGAAATGTCAGGAAATGTCAAACTGTGTTCACAGTGCAGATTTCTTCAGCAAAGTGGAATGAGAGCAAGTGTCAATGGGAGACATGCAGGACTGATGAGCAAAACCACATCTCCAGGCAAATGAGGAGATGGCTCAAGGGTGAAAAGACAGGGTCAAGAACTACTTAGGTGTAGGAATCTTGAGGGACATTTTTTTGAGAGTATATAAACAGGATGTGTAAAAAAAAACATGAAAGTTAATCTACAAAATAGAGGTTATTTTAGTAAAAAAAACTGTAGTCAATTTTCAACATTTCAAAATCAATTCAGCACATTTTATTACATTGCTCAAAAATGTGCCAAATACAGTAGATTATGGGCATTTGTAAACCTGCTTGTCTTTACGGTTATTATCTTTACTCTTTGTGCAATTCAAAGCTATTTTAAGCAAAAAAAATTAAACCCATGAATTAGGGTGATAACTGTACAGGAAGCAGTAGTCCTTTTGTGGTCCTTCAAGCCTGCTCTGCCATTTAATATATATAATCTGTTCTTTCACAGCAACAAGTTGCACTTATATAGTGCCCTTCATACGGGGTAGTGTCTCAGAGCGCTTAACAATAGAACTCGACTGAGCGGTGCGAGACACTGTTGAAGAGGAAGGTCTTCAGGGTTGTTCCGAAGATGGGGAAGAAGGAGGCAAGGCGGAAGGATTGAGGAAGAGAATGCCATAGTTTCAGGGTATAGTGACTGAAAGAATGGTCTTCATTGGTGGAGCAGAGTTGATGAGGAGGCCGGAGCCAGCTAAGCGAAGGCGACAGGTAGTGGAGTGGGGTGTAAGCAGGACGGAGGGAGGTGCCAGGGCATGAAGTCATTTTGTACAGGAGTGTGAAAATCTTGAAATCAATCCGTTCTGTAATAGTGGAGCCCAGCATCTAAGGAACCCTGGTTTGAATCTGTCCCGGGCAGATGTGGTCAGTGTCTTCACACTCCTGATAGCTTGAGTTTTGAATTCTGAATCCAATTCTCAATGTGCACATGAGCACTGTGCCAAACTGCCCATGATTTAGCAATAAATCATTGCATAGGAATACTCACTTAGAGAGGTCATTAAGATGGATGACCCAGGAAAGCGTCATGTCAGTAAGGTAGGAGGTGCTCTTCTATGGATGAGGTTGAAAGACAATGCGACAGCTCTACACTGTTTGCCTGAATAATGCACTTTATCCAACAGTGCTTGTTTCTACCAATTAGAAGACAAAGCTTTGTTCCCAAGGAATGTTATCTTCACCTTGGAACACAAAGTTTATAAAAAAAGATATTGTGTTTTGTAATTTTAATGACAGTTCAAAATAATAACTCAGCCTACTTATTGTAGGCTGGTTTTCCACACGCAGTGTACTAACGGATCAAGAAAATTCATATGCATATTAGCAAAACATAATGGATACATACTAATTAATCCCAAGTTGCTAAAACCCCAATTAGTACTATTTTGTTGTCACTAGATTATCAAGTTAGCATGGAATAATAAAATAATGTGACTATTTTTTCTCTAAGAACTGTCATTCACATGTGGAGTTCTTAGAAGGAACGAGGTCACAATCTTTCGAATTTTATCTATTACTCTCAAGTATTTTCTCATCTAAAATGTGAGGACAACAAAAACGATCTTAATGCTACAAAATACACGCAGTTGACGTGAGTATGAATTTCTCAGACAGCACTCCACTGGGCAGCCAAGCACGGCAAGGAAGAGATGGCAGAGATGATCGCTAAAACTGACATTGATGTCAATGTTAAATCCGTAAGTGACTGTGACATTAACTGACATTTGATTGGCTCCCTTAAGTCTTGAGTGCGTTTCCTTATTTTTCCATCCCTGTCTTTATACTTTTACCCCTTGCTGGGCTACTTAAAAAAAATAGCACCTTCTATAAAACAGACAGCGTTGCTTTTATAGTGGTCTTGCTAGACTGCCATTCAAACCTGTCAAATATTCCATCTTAGCATACCATTAAAGGCAAACACCGAGCAACTGTCAAATTACTTTAGGAAATTTACCAAAAATACTTTGAAATGCATTTCTAATGCGGCTGTTTTGGAGAATGCTCTGTAGATCTGTTGAATACCTTTTTTTNCTCTCTAAAAATATTCATTCAGCTTCTTTGGACTCAATTTAATAAATTGACAACTTGGTGTAAGCTCATTTTTTGGCCACTTTTCTAAATCTAATGAGATTCTATGGTGAGAAATGTAGCCAGGAACTGAAATGGACTAAACCCCGTGCTATTGCAGTGGAATCAGACTGTAGTGTGGCACATTTTAGAGTTTTCAGTTTTTGACCATCTAAGATTTGCTTTATGTCATTAGAAACTACTGTATTAAGAGGGTTTTGGTAGAAATTCTTACTGGACTTTGGAGTTGTTGGTATTGGTCAGGTGAAATTCCGTATCAAATCCTTTATGGCCCCGAAAGACAATTTTTCCAAAAGAAATAATCTCCCTGTTTTAAGTAAGATAAGAGCATTCTGCAATGGGACATTTTCCATGCCAAGGGTGGGAAGAATGGCTGAAATTGCCCCACTATTTCGAACTCCTTAGTTCTTCCTTTCTGTTTCAACCCAAACAGAATCAGTTCCACCATTTATTTATATTGCTGCATCATCATTTACTTTGCATATTGCTGATCCGAAAGCTTGCACCACAGCTAAGCGCAATACTGCATTAAAAATTCTTGCATCAAGGTAATCTCATAACAAACCATATCGAGATTATGCTAGAGTAGACCAAAAAGCAATTGGTTCATTGTCTTAAGGACGTTTTCTGGCTGACGCAGTCATCAGTTTAACCTGGAGTCACAATTTGTTTTCACTGATTTTTTTTAAGAGATAAAGCAAATCTCATTCTAAGAGGGGGAAAAAAAACATTCATTGCAGACCTTTGAGTCAAAAGTGTAATGTTTCACTAAAATAGCACAAAATTACCTGGTAAATGAAAGTTACTTTTTTTTTAGTTTTTCGGTAGCTTTTTTTGGACATAAAAAATCCTGTCTTTCCCTTGGAGCTTTTAATACTCCATATTATATGTAGAAAACCTTTCTGGATATAATATTTATTATCTAAATTTCTGTTAATCTTACACAGCATTTTTTTTGTCATACGGGGAATCTGTTTACAATGCCCTTCTATATAACATTGGCTCTTTTATAAGGTGCTAGGTAATGGACCCTGACATTTTGTGACATCAAAGCATGAAAATCCTGTTATTGTTTAAAAAAAAGCATTGTAGGTTACTCTGGGAGTCCAAACCATGCCCAGACACTATACTCCGGCTAGCAGTGAGTACATGCAGCGAGAATTGCCAGCAGGCTGTGCACAATTGGCTGCCGCGTTTCACCCACAAAATACAGTCAATTCACTTTACAATATATTCTGTGAAGCACTTTGAGATGTCTCGATTATATAAGGCGCTAATATCAAATGCAAGGATTATTATTAAAATAATTGGTACATAATTTTTTTTAAAAAAATCATTGAATTCGGTATCAAAAGGAATAATAAGCTTAAATGAAGATGGTCAGTCTGTGACTTTATTGACTAAGTATATGAGAATTTTTTTTCAGAGTACAAGGATGTAAAAATCCTCTGCCATGTTCATTCAGTCTTTTGATCCAGGCTGCACAGCCTAATAAAAGAGATATTGTCAAATAACTCCAAGGAGAAAAATAAAATGTGCATAACACCAAGAGAGGTATCTTCTTTAATAAATATCCTCAGAATAAATTGTATTTCTAATACTGCAGAAATACTGAAAAACTGCAAATGTAACCCTGAAAAGGCTCTTTTATAAAAAAACTAAAACTTGTATTTTTTCAGTAGTCGTTTCCCTTATTCTTCAAGGTGAAGGCCATCCTCTGGTTTATCTCCTACTGCATCCGGGCTTTAATTTCTTTTCTCCAACCTTTTCATTTTCAAATAAATTGAGGCATCCCATTTAAGAGGGCTTCCCCCCCAACGCACACCCCAGTGTGCTTGAGGCTAGGTTTGCGTTAAAGTCAAATAAAATTGGAATGCGCCACTGCACCTTTTTTCCACTTTTCTACCTTTTGTGTGTGAAGTAGCAGACGTGAATTTAATAGAGGAAGAATGCTGTGATTACTTAATGGTTTCCCAGACAGCAATGGCCTGGAGAATTAAATTTCACATCTGCTTTGATTGTGTTAATCTCTCTTTTCACATCCAGGCTGTTATGATGTGCACATGAGAGATAATGTTTAAACTGACTAAAGCAAAGTAAACCAGACAAGTCTGTTATTGGCTTTATAATTACATAATTAACTTTTTGTCTCTAATCGTTATGGAGGTAATGGTGCTGTTAAAATGGGTTTCTGGTGAGCAGAAAGTAAATCAAAAATCAATAATCCATAGAATGCCATTAAGGGCTGTAACTGCGCTTGTTTGATTCACTCAAGTTTTTGTACTGCAAATGAATTTCATTATGGTGCAGAATGTTATCTGGCAAGCTGACTTTCAACTGATAGAAGTGAGCAAGAGCATTGTAATCAGCAGCGTGCAGGAAAATGGACAAATGTTGCCATAAATTACACACTGCTTGAAATGCAGTTATTGCAGAGCGATTGACCTACTTGAAATTAATTCTATTTTCCATGAACCCTCCTTTATTTCTAATTTACATTACGATCATATAGGTCTGAAAAATGATATCATAAAAAAGATTAATGTACTAATTACTTGTCTTCTTATCTACCCCTCCCCCGGTTCCAACACCTTTGCACCAACTCGCTCAGCATGTAAGTATGTCACTTATTTCATTGTGACAGGGGTAATGCATTTGCAAACTGCGCTATAAATATTGGAATCCAGGCTAGCTATCTCATATTCAGACACCAGCCTTTTGAGCTATGCTTTTCCAAATGAGTTTAGAATTGACAAAGATTTTCAAAGCCAAATTACCTGTATGTCACTGTGAAATTAGGTTCTTGACCCTGTCTCTGATGTATGCTTATTTTCTACATATTTTCTCCCTCAATTTTATGCATCACTATTCACTGTTGGAACGGTGACATGTCTATCCTGAAAGGGGGTAAGTAATACTTTAATACACCTGCGAAATGAGCCTACGTTTGTCATGAATATGCTGAATGCCACCACTGACTGCAGTCAAATTGTTATTCCAGTGGCTTACTGAACTGAGCATTCCTTCAGTATTGTATCCATAAGGGATGCTGCTGTCGGAAACTGCCAAATTTTATAAGAGGTGGAAATGGTTTTACTTCTCTTAATTGTAACTGTTCTCGCTATCTCGTTAGTTTCGCTTGAAATATGCCCATTTAAAGGTGTCTGGTCTCTAACAAATAGAATTCATAAGAAGAATTCAACAGAATGATATCCTTTACTGGCTGGAATAGATTTTTACGCATGTTGTGCGTAATATTGTCTCGGTTGTATTTAAAACACCCCAAATAAAATTGCATAGTGCTTTCCCTTCCAGATTACGTTCAAGGCCACACAAACAGGATCTGTAACAAGATAAATTCAAGACTGAATTTAAGATCCGTAAAACTGTGCCAAGCATAGTATCGTGTACAGTGGAGTGATTCAATAATCTCTTAAACAGCCATTTAACCTCTTAGATCCACTTTAATTTCCTCAAAGTAGCCCACATCCAGCTATAACCAAAACTGCCACGGTTTATTAATTTTGTGTAAAAACATTGGAAGTATACCCTGCAGGGATGAAGGGAAACCTATTGTGGAGCTCATGTCTTTAACACTAGCTGCATTCTGCCCATTTACACTTCTGCCCTTCAATACACACTAGCTCACTTGTGTTGCCGTCAACCCCTCTGTCACACAACCCAATTCACCTGTTCACAAATACAGATGCCACGTCAACCATCACTACTGTCAAAAAACTGAACTGATAGGTCTTGAAATCCTTTTTTTTTGTTTAAAAAAAAGTCCTGTATTGAAACCTGCTCGAGATTTAACTGAGTCACCTGGAAATTGGTGTGCCCTGTGGTTGTTTTCGTGCAGCTACAAGATTTATTTAAAAAAAACTCTCCAAACTGTTACCATTTAATAAAATAATTTACCGTTCGAGATGGACTATGTAGAGAGCTAGGTTGAGATTCTTAAGAGTTTGCATTTACTGTATATTAAAAATTACCGACTCAACTAAACTTTGTATTTACTAATGAGGTTTTTTTTACTCCCAGAGATCTGTTTAGCACTTGACAGTCTTGTAAGTCTACAAATTAAGTTGACATATCTTTGCCCTGAATTGAGTTTTTACTGCTCTTTGTGGCTTTTATAAGATTCCTGTGAATTCTTCGACAAGCTAGGTAGGTAGCCTTCATTTCTGGAGGCAAAACACCTGGCTCAAGTGGAGCAGTAATTAATTTTTAGTGTTAGGGGTGCAACCATCATTCAGCTAGGTCTCAGTCTTTAGGTGATGGATGGCGGGTAAACTGAAGGCTGATAGGACATAGCCCATGAATCTGTTCTACATCATCAGTTCCTTTGATCACCGGCAGAAGTTCAGAGATGCCTCTGTGCATCTGTCCAAATAAACAAAGTACCAGCTATATCCTCTGGAGTTGCGTTCACAGACATCGAGCCCACCTCTGCTTCAGAAATACCCACTTCACCAAAAATGCCTCCAGTATAAAATAAATGCCACAGTTCTTTTTTTGGATGAAACCATTTGAAAAAAGCCTACGGTAATGACAGATTCTGTAGATAATAGATGACCCATGAAAGATGATAGCTGTGCTGACAGCAGGAGCTAGTTTCAGCATAGCTGCCATGCAGCATTAAGGCCTACAGCTGTCATGACAAGAAACTCAAAAGTTACAGCAATGCTATAGCGATTACATCATTTATCTTTTGAAGGCTGTTCCCTGATTAGTGTCTTGCATTCATTCTACTCACTGTCTGTGCTCAGCTTGAAGTAACTTGTCAGTTCACTTTCCAAGAATAAATCAAAGGATGTTTACTTCATAGTCAGGTTCGGCTCAAAAGTATGTGGCAGCAGAGTGTGCTTTAATAGGTCTGTTTAACAAACATTGATCGTGTTTTAGAGAGAGCTTACTCTTTAAATGCCACCTTTTCCTTTGTTTAAAATCTTTGACCTTTCTTTGCTTCATTAAATTTACACATAGCAAAAAAAGATAGAAAAGGTTGAAGAGTCTGTGGCCTTTATATATTACACAATGTACATGACTCTGACTGTCACCACAATCCAAATTTCTCTTATTGGGATAATGAGACAACTCTCAAACTTCATATAGAGGAAATACTCAAAGTAACTTTTAAGTGGAAGATGTACTTTTTGGGGGGGCGAATAAAAGTTCACAAGTAATACAAAATCTCCAAAGTTATTTCGGCATTTCAATAGGAAAATATCAGATCATCCAGAAATATCGCTTTTCCGAGGGTAATAATTCCTTCAAAATAAATAAATAAAAATAATTTGGTTACTCAATCCATGACTGTTTGTGGGACACTGCTGTGTGCAACTGGCTGCTGCGTTTCGCCCACAAAATATGCAGTCAATTTACTTTACAGTATATTCTGTGAAGCGCTTTGAAGCATCTTGAAGGCATGATAAAGCGCTATATCAAATGCAAGGATTATTATTATGCTTGCTTCATCTCAACAGTTCATACACTATTTGCATACATGGATTTGTTCTATCTTCTGATGGAGGACGAGGAGTCCTGTAGCTCAGTGGTTAGAGCACTCGCCTTGCAAACGAGACCCCTGCGTTCAATTCCAGGCAGGGTGAAACCTTGGGCAAGTTTCCTTACTCCACACGCCTAATAATAATCCCTCCAAAACAAAACAATAATAAATTTGTCATTTTCAATCCGCAATTGTTTGTGGGACACTGCTGTGCACAATTGGCTGCCGTGTTTCGCCCGCGAATATAGGTCAATTCACTTTGCAGCATATTCTATGAAGTGCTTTGAGATGTCTAGAAGATGTGAAAAGCGCGATATCAAATGCAAGGATTATTATTATTATAAATATGAAATAATCTCAATTCAGAAGAGCTACAGACGCAATGAATTTATGAGGTCTTTCTTGCAACACAATTATATCGAGTAATGTGTGTCCACACACAGGAACCACAGACTTGGGATACTTGCCAAGATAGTGCAATATTCAAAATATACATATTTTGTGTTATTTTTCCAGTGGGAGAAATAGCACAGTGTTAGAATTTGTGCTATTGTTAAATTTTATATATTACTATTCTCATAAATGATACATATATATATATATATTACTATTCTCAATATATTACTAGGGCACTGTGAACTGTAGCTGGATTCAACTATTTATAAATGTACATATTATATATGCAATGTGTGTGTATATATATATACACACACACACAGAATCGTTATCAGATCATATGGAGGAAGTCTATTGGCCAGGCTATCTATGGAGACTACTTTGTATTTGTACCAATTCGGTACAGGCTTCAGCATTGTCCACACATGCCCAGTTGGGTTAAATCATCACACAGCAACATACTGATGCTATGCTGTGTGTTCCCCACTGAAGCCCATGTGAGCCAGCACATGCAAAGATCCCAGGACCTTGAACTGGCACAGCTGCTGAATAAACCTGGTGGCAGAAAGGGAGCTTGGCTCCCAATTGTAAACAGCTCCACTTTTAACTTGCTCTTCCTGCCTCCAGAAGCATAAACTGTACACACTTCAGATATGATGCATTCTCTTTGGCAAGCAATCCCGACTAACCCAAGAAACACAGGCAAGTGGCTGGGGAAAAAAAATCAGTTAAAGCAGATGTTTACCCTTGGTAAAAATTAACATTTTATTTTAAGAAATACCTCAAACATCAACAAATCTAATTGTACCGCAGCTTAAATGATAACACATGTAAGACTTCTAATTCAATGCCTTTGTCTGACCATGTTACAATTCCACCTCTCTAGTCGACTAATTGTGCAATTTGCATTTGCTGCTTTACAATTTGTTGTCTTCTGTTCAAATCCTAGGGCTATACAGCATTGCATATAGCAGCTCTTCATGGCCACCGACACATCATTGTGCTGCTGATCAACACATACAGTAAGTGACTGGCAACTCTTTTAATACCCTTGTTTCTTTATGAAACACTTTCCTCCCAGACCAGTGAGGTCTGCCATTTCCATAATCTCAATTTAACACATATTTGAAGTGCTAAACAGGGACTGTCTAGGCTTGAAAGTAGTAAAGTACAACAAAATTACATTGACAGAAAAACAAAACATCTCTGCTGCCCTTATTAGTGGAGATACTTAAAATGAAAGTGAGCGAAACCAAGGATTTGACGGGGAAGCAGGGGATAAATTGAAAACCAGTTAAAACTAGCTGAGAAACATCAACATGGCAAGCTAACAAAGACAGAGACCCCGAGGGGAAAGCAGGGGACAGAAAGAGCAGGCAGTCTGAGTATCATCAGATAATTGCTCACAGTACAGCTAAATATTTGTGATAGAATGTTTTTCTAATTTGTCTCACAAATCTTCCTTGGTGCACTTCAGATTGGCTGAGATAGGCTAATACAGCAGCAGTTGTTGACTCTTCATTAAGATGTTGATTTGCCTAGTCTCCTGAAGCATAACGGCTTTTTTCAAGGCTCTAGCCTCCCCTGTAAGCAGGACTAATTTTCCCTTAATTAGCCAGACCTTGCTATTGTTATTTACAGCTCTGCCATGCATCAGTGCAAAGTTTCTCTGCCAAGTTTTCAGCGCATTCAAACCTCAGTGGGAGCAGGCAAAAGGGGGGGGGGGAAATAAAAGGTCACGTAGACGAAATGCTAGTAGGGCAGTTGCATGAATGAAATGTCCACTATAAAAACATAGGTTCAAGGTCAAACAGGAGTTGGGAGTCCGATGGATGGTGAGATAAAAAGGGAAAAGGGAAAAAATAACAATCATTGTCTTGTCAGAAAATAAAATTGTGAATTACAGTATTTAGTGTGAACACCCATCGGCTTCCACCAATTTTGTAGGGTATGTTTGCCTTTGGGCGGAGATTGCAAGTCTTCCCTTTATGCATCCTCCCATTGAGACTGCAGCAGCCCCTGAGGGAGGGGAAACAACCCAGATCATTTTTGCTGTTAGTATTTCATTTACGTCACACGCACTGTACAGAAATCTGAAACTTATGGTAATACCACACAGTTTATAAAGAAAATGCAAGTGAACTTTAACCCGTAAAGTACAATCAGCATCAACCAGTTTTTCAGAGCTTTGAGACTCAGCTAATGCTGGCACAATTTCAGGAAACAAATTTGCACATCTATTTTTTTTACAATGCGGGCGTCAAAGTGATCTTTATCCGCCTTTTACATCCAGCATATTTCCCCAGAGATCATCACAAAGCCTGTTCACAAATTGTATTACTGCTGTTAGTTACAATAACGATTGTGGAGTCCATTATTATAAAAATATAAGACACATGTTGTGGTACTTTTTAAAAAGAGGAATTCGGGGAAAGACTAAACTAGAACTGTCCCAATCAAAGACAAGTTGACAAAGAATTGTGGCACCACAGCATATGTTTTTGTAAGGTTTCTATTACTGTGTCACTGGTATACAGACTTTCTCTGGCACACTCATGTCAGGTACCCGTTTGAAGTCCACAGACCTTTTATATCCAGTAACCCAAGTAGAGCAAGAGCACAAGTTCAGAGCCACCTTAAGGTACATGAGTGAGAGCACCTTTATATAGTAAGTAAAATCAAATATGCATACAAGGGATGTTTTAATCCAGTGGGATTTCTATATTAATAGCATATAGGCTAAAGAATGCATGTTAATAAACAGATGGGTACATAACATTCTTTCCATGGATTGAGTAATCCTACAGTTTGATATTTATTATTATTCAGTATATAGGCTGAGCAAAATAAGGCTTATGAAAATTATCCCATCCGGCGTGGAGGGCGCTATATAAATCCAAGCTGTTGTTGTTGTTCAGCTAGGGTTCCCCATACCCATTAAGGCTTTGGTATGTAAAGTTGAGGAGATATCTGCATTGGATTACTCATTGCTTCACTCTTTCTATCACACAATAGGGATCCCACTTTGAGTGCTTAGGTACAATGGTATTTCTGGTGGCTGCAGGAAATCCCATTCTGAATGATAAAATATGGTGGTAATGCCAAATTTACTGGCTGTATTAATATGAATTAACCTGAATCGTGAAATAGGAAACCGTAAATTAAAGTGTAATACATGGTTGGCACTGAGTTATGTGTCAGTAATTCAAACGTGCAGTTCAGATAATATCAGCATTTATGAGATTGAATTACTGTTTTAAACCTAAACCCACTGGTAACTATTTTTCAACTTATATACAACTTGCACTTTTGATCATTGCCAGTGACTTGCACATGTATGATGCAGAAGCAGGATTGCACTAAACCATAAAGTCCCCAACATTACATTGCCTGTTGGTTCTCACTGTCCATGTCGCCAGAGTGCTATCTGCAAGCATGGCACCAGCTCCCAGGAAGAGTCAAATTCTTCAGCAAAATTGGGAGAAAAAAAATTGGGGAAGAACAAACTAATTTTCCTTCCATTATGCACTGAATGTGATGAGCAATGTACAAGCAGTGTGTGGCAACAGAAAAATAATAAAGAAGTCTACTGATAATGGTATCTGTCTGGTGGCGATGCCATGCAGAGAGGGCAAGTGCTTCCCACAGATGGAATGGGAAATTCAGAGGGCAGGTCAGCTCATCAAACTCTACATACTGTATCTCCTAGCAGATTGGCAGAGCCTAAGGATATGTTGCCAGAAACCTATTGAATACCATACGTCTCTTTAGCACCTTCAGCCCTGCAGAATGTCTGGCTGCATTTCTGAGTATCCTGTGCCTCCACAGAGCCAAGCATCCCCTTTCTTTTCTCTATATAAATTAAAATAATGACAAACGTCAGAATTTGGTAATTAATAGGAATACTGTAAATAGTGTATTCAACTCATACCCTTCCAAAATAGCTAGCTGGGTTAGGTGGTCAAGCGTATTCTTCACGTCATTCAGTTTTCTCTATTACGTATCTGTATGCGTGACATAGGGTTTTATATCACACTCAAAAAACTACTTGGTAACAGCAGAGTACCTGCTACTTAATACCATTTGTGCTATTTGCTTACATCAAAATGATTGTTCATTTTAATGCTTTTGTCCCTACATCATTCTAATGGAAACACCAGTTTTTTTATGATAAATAGTACCAAATTAACAATCATCCTTGAACTTGGCAGTGCTTCTTTCAAATAACACTGAAGGGTGGAAATAGAAAATCAACACAAAAAAATCCTGGGCAACAGGTTTTTTTCCAGCACACCCACATAGCTGAATTTAGCACAGCTTTTAAACACCCAAATGAAGGCTATAATTACAGTATTTACATTATATGAATCAAGTGATCCCTGATGGCAGGTTACAAAGTTGGAACTTAATTGCAAGCTTCAAATGATCATATAAATCACTTCAGTTTCCTTTTCACAGTTTTATGACATCATCTGAACCTTTCAATTAGGTTGTGGCCAACTGCACAATCCCAGGTGTCATACGATACTGTAGGCGGTACCGTAAAAGAATGGGTGTTTACATTGTTGATGCGTATTTAAATTTAAAAATGCCATTCACTTACATGGTCTGGAGCCAAAAATCCCAATCCCTGTATGTTTGGCACACAAGGAGAGACATTTGTCTTTTCGTCCACAGTCTGTTTGCAAACATTGTTTATTAAGATTAACAAGTTAAAATGTACTGTGGTTTGAGTGGGGAGGGGGTGGTGTGGGAGAAAGAGGATGAATGGTTTAAGGTTGTACTTGTGTTGTGACCACATTGAAGAGGATGTCGTGACAGGTGGTGATGTGCTGAGGAGACTTGCTGTACACACTGGCACTTGGCACAGTAAAGCCAGCCATCACCAGGGTGACAACATGTTCAGCTATTTGTAAACCAGGCAGGGCTTTTAAAAACTTTTTTTCAACTTGTGGAAAGGGAGAGGGAGGGAGAGAAAAAAAGAAGGTTGATCTGAGGAAGCCAGGAGTGGAACTTCAGCATCAATGAACACTAGAGAACATTCTTCAACTGACAAAATAAATCAGCTCAACACAGATGATGGCTCTCAGGATTTAACACCTCCTGACAAAGAGAAGCATTCTGGTCTCCTTGAAGGAAACACAGATAAAAATTTTGTTCTTCAACTCTAATGAGGCAAGCTCAGATATGAGTCAATAGAGCAATTCATTAACAAATCTAGTGAAATCCCTTGGGCACCAGGCAAGATGGCAGTGAAAGCGGATGTGTTGTGAAAAACCTCCTCCGGAATAGATGCCCATATGCTAAGGGTCAGAGAGCCGGACTGCTTTGCTCTGTTTACTATTCACTGAACACATATGGCAGTTAAGGTCACTGTTATCAGACACTTTCTCTGTACACAAAACAAAATTTCCATATGGGCCATGAAAATGGATATGCTGTGCTCCGAAGTAGCTTCCCACGGCTTTCTTATTGTGCAGCAGTGGTTAGAAGTGAAGGGGTGTGCAGGGTTAGTGTGCCAGTCAATTGCACTCATTGCTTTGTGCGTCAGGCCAATTTAGGGCAAATCTGCGTCACTTTTTTCCCCCTCTTTCAAATCCAAATGCTCATGTCAGTCTATTAGAACGTGATGGAAGTACTGATCACTGCCTCTTCATTTAAAGCCTTTTGAAAATACGATGACCCGCTGAAGAGGATTTTAAGAAGAGGGCCCTTCACCAGACTCTTTCAAATACACATAAATAAAGCCCTTTACGGGCTAGAAATGGCCTCTCAGATTTAGCACTACAGAGCGCTGAAAGCCACAACACGATTGTCATGGATATTACACGAGGCTAACAACAACGGGCCATGCAGACAAGTGTCGATACTGAACAAAACTAGGCTAGACGTTTTGAAAAGCTGAGATGCGGAAACTTGACAGCCAAATAAATAGCCTGTTTAACCCTTTAAAAGTAAATGAAGAGAAGAGAAAATTGCATCGTGATAGATTTTGTGCCTTTGAAAAATTCATGGCACATGAAATACATCAGCTCACTAAAGGGGTAGGAATGTGGAACTTTGCAACAGGGTGTAGGACAGAGCAAGCTTGAGGAGTATAACAGCCATTTTAAAACATTACCTAAAACAATGAAAAATATTTTAAGTAAAAGCCTAATTTTTTNGTTATTAAAAATGTTTTTTTACCTTTTTTTAAAAAAAATAGCTAAGCACTGTTAAAATGAACAAAACATACTTTACATTAACAGGCTTTCAATCTTAGTATTTTCTCTCTTTGTGCTCCCAGCATCTTGTGGGTTGTAAGAACTGTAATTGAAAGATGTAGAGGCACAGTAAGAATCAAAAGGATTAGTAATGGTACAATAATTGTGATTAAAAGTTCGAACAGTATTTCCACACTGCGGGCTATGGTTTTGGAAATAAATACATAGAGTTCATTTACTTCATTTTAACACACCCACACAAGCAGACACACATCTGATATTTTTCCAAAGAGAAATATAAGGTGTTCTTTACATTTTAGATATTTAATATCAATAAATTCAAATAAAAGTCCTAAACTTCAGTACAGTTATACATAAGCTTTTTTTTAATTGCCCATTGAACTGCAAGTAACAGCCATTATACTAGAGCTATTTGGAACGTTATTTTCAGTCAGGTATTCATGAGATTTCAAATTTCTTAGGTTAAAAACAAGAGTAAATGTTGATCATCCGAGAAAACAAATCACTGCATATTTAGGGTGGAAACTTATGTCTATTTCATTTGGTTGCACACTTGACTTAACTGCACCGTCAGGACATATTTTGCCAGCCACAAGATTGTTAGAATTCTAAATACCAACATTTTGAACCTCTGCCCATGTTTTAACCATGTAGAGCTCCATTTAATTCATTTAATTGATTCTAATTGTCTTTCAGGGAAGAGAGCATGTTTTTTGCCAACTCGACTGGCAATGAGAAGCTGCCTTCTTCAGCACTCACTGTCACACAGACACACTCATGAAAATGCATGCTATTCCTCTAGGATATTTCAGTAATTGTGCTATTTCCCTAACTGTTTGTGTCAGACGCTCATTACTGGGATGCTGACACTTTTGACAGTGCGGGCACATTAAGTTGTCCTCAAGTACGTTTTGTTAAATATTGTGTGATGACAGCAAATTTTGTGCAATTATCAGCCCTGCAAATGATGTAAACAAGTCTGTATTACTGCATAATTTTTAAACTAAAATCAGTCTTATTCACCTAACAACCAGTTACGAGGTTTAGGTTTCCAGTGATAATGTCACCAAAGTGGTTGTGAATTGATCCCAGCATCTCTGCACCTCTAATGCGCTGCATGACAATGCCCTGGGTGAAAGGAGCAATATAAAACAAGTTGTTGATGTGCGGCTTTGGGCGAGGGAAGGAGAGAGAAGAAATTCCTTCAAAGTAAGCAATAATATAGCCTAGGCATCAGAATGCCACTCCTGGTGAAGAATGCAACATCGCCTTCCCGTAAAAACCCTTACGTTTGCTGTGCAGGCAATTCAAGGGTGTGCATGTGTTCTCTTTGTCTCTCATGATAGGGTGGGTAATAGGGGAAGATAGCTGATTATATGAATCAGTATTTTCCAAAACCGTCCACAAGGTGTAAAGGCCCCACAGCAATACCGACGAGAGGATCATGCAGGTTTTATGTGAACCAGTTATGGCTCTTTTGCTTTTAGCAATGCCTCCAGGTTCACCTTCAGGGAAGGTTCTACAAACTAAAAATTGACTGCTATGGCTGACTTCTATGTTAGATGACCAGCTGTGGGTTGCTATCAGGCCAATCTCACTGGTTAGCATTACAGTCAGCTCTGGACCTGCCCAGAGGCTGGAGAAGCTCAGAGAAAAAAGGTACGAGTCATAGCTAAGAAACAACAGCATTCAACTCACTGTCTTAAGAAATGGTTCTATTTAAACCAGTTCTAAAATAATTGGTAAACTAATGGAGTGTCAGCTCATCCCATCCCAGGTCAGCAGTTGCAGCACTAATTATTATTAGTAAATAATAAACACTTAAAAAAACTGTCAATCCACTCTAGAGTTTGTTCTGTGAAGCACTTTGAGACATCTAGAAGCTGTGATAAAGTGCTATGACAAATGCATGGATTATTAGTATTATTATTAAAATTCACTATTGTAAACTGACAATGGCCACTTAAGATAAAAGTGTGCTTGGATCTGATCACTAGTTGTAGACCAACTAAAGACCACTTCTGTTAAAGTGGATCTTTTTTCCCCTTTTTCTATCATAGGTTTCAGGCCCCACAACATAACTGTGAACAGAGGGAACTGTGAGTCAATCAGAGTTTTTCACTAGCCTTCTTCTCTACAAACAATGATCCAAGATCCACAGAAAAAAGGCTAGATAGTCCAGAACACCACCGATTTCTCCTCTTCCCAGAAGATGCCTCCCATCACCCAAACCCTGGCTACGGTCCCATACTGGAAATAGGAGAGATTACAAGCTTGGCAGTATCGTGGATTTACCACTACTGACAGGCGGATAATCAGATTATTGCTGGCAGTAACATCGCTTGCGGGTTACCACCAGTGAGACAAATGTACCACAGGTATCAGCCATGTACACGGTTTGGAACCCATCATATTTTATCTCACAGTGCACTATTATATAAGTGGATTTCCACCATTTTTATACATATAAGATGTATGCTGCAGACCTAAAGTGAATTTATTTTGAATAATGCTATAGTTTTCTCATTTACAACGATAGTATAGTTTAGGGCCAGTGACAGAGCTTTGAATAGGATATGTACACTGTCTAGACTCCAGAAGATAGATGAGCAATTAACAGATTAGCATTTGCAGTGGTGAGAAAGGGGATATGGAGTGGAAAACGAAACATTGAACAGAAAATTACCCTTATCATAGAGATGCAGTTGCCTCCGTACACTAAGGATGGTTGAGCAGTACATGCAAAATTGCTCACATTAACTGCTTATAGCCTGGATATGGAACAACCCCAAACATGAGAATTAACACTTGGAGGGCTTGATTTGCATTTCATTTCACAATCCAAATATTTAGTCCTCACCTCAAACAAATGCACCTATTCTGTCACAGTTAAATCACCCTCAATCCTGCTGCTCACTTACTAACAAAAACACAAGACTCCCTTACAAGGCCTGTCATCTGCTTTTATAATCAATCTTAACTTGGCATCAATTGACTTCCTGGCTTCCACCCCCAACTATCAAAGGATCCATAGTCTTACTATACTGTATGGTATCCTTCCTTATATTAGCTGGGGGTGTATTCTTTTAAAAAGGGAAAAAAAGCTACAAATGCAGGAAATCCGAAAGTAGAAAATGTATAGCTTTTCAGTGAACATCTGAAAACGAAGGATTAGCTAACTTAGATAAGATCCACCATTAAAATGTTTCTGATCAAAAACATTAACCTCGATTCTTCTTCAGTTGCTTTGTTTTTTTGTAGTGCCCTATAAAGGAAAGGGCAAAGCCCTTGAACTTGAGGTCAGGCACCACAAAGGGAACTATTGATTATTATTATTATACTTTAAAATGGTGCAACCCACCACCCCACTGTACAATATTCTATGGTGGAGTAAATTCTGTGATATAAACCTGTTGCTCTATATTCAGTGGGATCTAAAACATTGCCATTTCTAATAGAAAATTCCTTAACTCTGCAAGCTCATCACCCCAGTCCTTACCAAGATCCAAACTCAGGCTTACTGCATTTAATAATAATAATGTTAATAATCCTTGCATTTGATATAGCGCCTTACCATGTCTTCGAAATGTCTCAAAGCGCTTCACAGAATATAATGCAAAGTAAATTGACTGTAGATTTTGTGGGCGAAACATTTCCCCCTTAAGATTTTACACCACTAACCTCAGCAATTCACTGCTGCCACGAATTGTGTAAAGTCACAGGAATGAAAGCCGGGAGCTGCAGAAATCTCAGTGGTTCTGTTCGCCCAATACTGTATAAAAGGGTAGCAACATTCCCTAAAAGCAACATCTGTTACAAATCTACAGGTACAAATCTTCATAGTATTCATAGTTTCGCCCACAAAATACAGTCTTTACAATATATAATGTGAAGTGTTGTGAGACATCCCAACGAAAGGATAAGGTGCTATATCAGATGCAAGGATTATTATAATAGTACTAGTGACATCTAGTGGCGTGGGAGTATTTCATTTCTGGTTTAAATTAAAGCAAGCTTGGACATCCTTAGCTATCAAGTTGATTCTGCCACTTCCAGACAATGCTACCATCAGTCTTGGACTTCCACTCACCACTTTCTCTCCAGATGTTTCCGGTGCTCAGCAGTTATTTTATGTGTGACTTGATTCTTTAATTCTGACATGCATACTGTGATTCATTGGACTCAATTTTTGAAGTTGTAACAAGAGAATCTATTTTTGTAATGCTTCAAATTGTCCTTTGTTCAATTGTATTAAAATCAAATAACTTCAGTGCAAATTTTTCACTCGTCAGTCAGTTTGAAGTACTGCAGTTCTGCTCATCTGCTCAAATGCTTATCATGTCATAAACTGGTCCACAAAGCAAGCGTACATACAGACGCGTGTGTAACAATTTTTATTAATGAACATCTATTACGGGAGGCTCACTGAAAATGCGTTTGTTATGAACCCTGCCACTGGGCCTTTGCCAATAAGTCTGGTGATGTATGCGAATACAGCATGAATGAAGAACTATTGTGTCTGCACCTTCACTTAATCATGTTTCAGGTTACATATTCATTTAACACCATGAATACATCCCTGACATATATTCAATTTGTTATTTTCTTAAACAGTTCTCTTCACAATGTCAGCATCTAAAACCAGAGACTTAAATGACTGTTCTGCACGTTAAATTTGCATGGTATGGATTGCACATTCATTGCCACATTATACTATGGAATATTAGAAAGGTTTATGTTCTCTTTCTACAAAATATCTGAGCTCCAACATTACACTGCTTGATATCATACAGTAGAAGCAGGTTATTTTGGGATGAACCGTAGCAATTTTAATGCTGGAATCTTGAGATGATAATAGAACCCTGTTATAAGGTGGTAGTCAGGATCCATAAAATCCAGCAATCTTTACAATGATTTACATGACTGATGTGACTGATCAGGATAATAAGGTTGCCGCCAACATCACTAGCATGCGTGCAAGGGTACAGGAAGTGATATTGGTTACACAGAAGTCATTCCTCCGTTAGTGCACAGGAGGTAGGTCAGCCAATGGGCTCAAGCCAAATGGCACAACCTCACCTTAGAATCTGGGTTATTAGCAAACGGGTTCTATTATTTATTAAAATCTTAAATACTTCTCTACCCCATCTTGGGGATGTCTATTTTCAAGGTTGAAGTGCTCCAACTTGTCTACTGGGAATCATCTTCATTGATCTCTGCACTGCCTCTAGAGTCTGGGCAGTTACCTTATGTTGCGCAAACCAGAACTGTACATAGTACTCGAGGTGCAGCCTGACCAAAGCATTGTACAACTTGACTTCTGGGGATCTGAAATCAACCTATTTGGCAATATAACCCAAGATCTTGTTTGCCTTATTTATTGCTGCCTGCTAGCCACTGAAAAAACAATTGTTCAACTAATAGCTTTTCTTATACTTTTTAATATCACAATACCTTCCTCTTATTAAGCAGAACTATCTTGAACTACCTTCAGGATAAATGTTTCTGAGGTATTAAAGTTAATGCTTTGAAAGTCATGTATCTAAGATTCTAATCTATGGAAGAACAGGTGATACTGTATGAAGTCAGTCTCAACAAATGAGAACTGTTGCAAGTGTTCACTGATGAAAACAAGCAGCACACAAGAACAGTTTGAACATCATACAAAACTGATCAATCAAAGCCAAAGATGGCTGATGGCCTGACACGTGCCTGTCAATTGATCAATCAATCAATCGACAAAGAAATGTCCACTAAAGAGCAACACTTCACTGAAATCAGTTTTGCAGGAGGTGAGAGCTGTATTTTCTGCAAACTTTTTCCAAGATTTTCATTCAGCCATTTCAAATACTGTTACTGTGGTTTCTTTTCCCAGACTGATTCAAGCTACATGCCAATAGTTTCCACTAACTGCTCAACCACCATTAAAATAAATCACCAAACTGATTCCAACAATCAACAAAAAGCAGCCAGTGTAATAAATAGTTAGTAGGTTTACTCAGTAGCTGCACTTACTTACTGTGGAGAACAATATTTAACCTTTGAATCAAATCTTACAGTATTTTAGTATTTTACAGTCTAAAATTTGCCACTTTCTCCCATCAGTTTTCCCTGGGGCTTTCTTTCAAGGGGGGTGAGTGTTGTGAGATATTTCTTGCAGAATAAACTGCATATTCCTTCTGTTTGCATTAAGCATTCTGAAAAAATTGACCCATGTACCTAATGACACATTTATTGACGTAGTGGGAGTAGAATTCAAATATAACTATTCAAATATAACTTTGTACCATCATTATATTGCACAGTGCATTCAAATGCCCTGAAACTGAAAAAATATTCTGCACTGCCTCATGTATCTATTGGGTGACAGTGCACAAAAGTATCGGCATATCTCATTAAAATGCTTGGAAATGCATGGGGTGAACAGAGCAACCACATACCCTTAACTTATAAAAGATTGGATAAATATGTCCTCAGACAGTACGAGATGAAGCGGAGCACTTTCCTCATCAACACATCCCATAGCTAGATATATCTTTGGTATGGAGTATATACATATGCTTTGAAGTTCTGTGGGCTCAAAGTGCTCAAAGCAAATAGAACACAAGCACAGAAGGAAGATTAGCCTCTGTTCCACCATCGGTGGCCGCGCTTTCAGCCACTGCACCCTGAAACTCTGGAACACTCTTCCTCCATCCCTCCGCCTTGCCCCTTCCTTCCCCATTTTCAGGTCGCACCTGAAGACCTTCCTATTCGACCGTGCCTTCGGTCACCACCCCCTCCCCCCCGGCTTAAAGTCATGCTCCACCACTGTCAAGCACTCTGGGACGCTACCCTATGTGAGGGGCACTATATAAATGCAAGTTGGTTTTGTTGTTCAATTCTGGTCACCCAAGGAACAAGCAACCTTGTGGAGGCAAAGCACTTCTCCAGAGCTAGGGAGTGAAGGCCATGGCCAGGGAGAGAGTCAAAAGACTTCTTGGATAGTTAATCACTCTTACCATTGAGGAATCTAATAAAGGAGGAAAAACTAAAATGTGGGAATACCATATGCAATAAATAAATAAATAAATAAAGCTATGAATACTTAGTAGTTGTGAATTGTTCTATGGATTATTCTATGGAGGTTTATTTTGCCGTTGGTCATTTATAATGGTCATTTATAATGACCAAGGGCTTTGAGACACTGCCTTCATGAAGGATGCTCTATAAATGCAAGTTGGTGTTGGGATAGTTCTAATGTATCCCAGCAATGGTGTGTGCAAATAACAACAGACCATACGACACAATATGCCATAGTTTGACACCAAAATGGACAGCACCACACCATGGCAATGTAGGGAATTAACACATTTGCTAAACATAATTGTCTGAACTTCAAAATGAAACAGTTATTAAAATACTGCAGAGCATACAGGTGGATTATTCGCATGAGGCCTTAGAGGGATAAGACCATCAGTCAGCAGGAAGGTGCGTGTCGTAGTTCCTCACGCAACTTAAACTTCTTTTGACATCTGGTTATGTCCAAATGAAACTGATAACCCTGGGGTTCAGTTCCCTGTGAGAAAAGTTCACTGACAGACAGCATACAAATCTGATCTTAAATGAGAATCAAGAGAAACCAGCATTCCAAAAAGCTGACAGTCCACAGCTGCTACCTGGGTCAGCTTAACAAAGACAATCCTGCTCTGGTGAACAGCGATATTAGCATCTGCATGTCTCCGTCTCATTATCAGACATCTGCCCACCTTTATTATAACCCATAACCCAGAAAGCTCTTTCTGCATTGACAGCCTTGCTTTTGTCATTGAACTGATATTATTGAATTAGGATCTGGATTGCCAGGAAGATAGATTTCCCCTCACCCTGAGTGATAATTTTTTTCTCCTCTAAAGGCGCTGAAGGTTTTTGACTTACATAATGATGTATGTTTTACAGACAGGAGGTATCTGCCCACAATATTTCAAGGTGTTTTTCCACAGTGTGTGTGTCTGTATGCATGTGTGTTCCCCCCCCCCCCCCTATTGATTACTGGAGAAAGTGCTGCTTTTTTTTCAACAGTGGCAATCAAAGTCATAACAGCATCCTCTGACAGGTAAGAATAGCTTATTTAGATTGGTTTGGCAGGCACACGCTTAGAATTGCAAAGTTGAATTCAAAATGAGATATTCATAAAACTGGTAACATTGTCTTTCATTCCGAAAAGACATTACAGTCTGTCAACAGCGTGCTAAAAAAAATAGGAAATGTTGACCTTTTTACTACAGTGCTTTTTTTTCCCCTACCGCTGCCTCCTTTCAAATGCACATTCCCCCCATTTCAGCTGTATGTTATCTCAAATAATTACCCTGTGCTTCTGGCTGTCCCTTGTGACTTAGCCTGCAAAAAGCTACTCATTGTAGGAGAGTGTAGAGGGATTTAAAACCTGCTTCTTGCGGCCCAGCAACAGCTCTTAATTAACCACTCAGGTATTGGGAAGCCTCCCAGCCCAGCTCCTATCCATATGGCAGGA